TATGGTGGTGAAACTTTGGTATGGCAGAATCATAGGAGTCATATTACTGCATATGAAATGAAGTTTATGAGAGGGGTATGTGGCATAATGGGGAGAGATTATGTGAAAAATGAACAAGTGCTCAAGTAATGTGGAGTGAAAGAGAATGTTGAAAAAGATTGGGAAATCTGCTCTACGATGATTAAGCCACATTGAGAGAATGAAAGGAGAAAAACTGTTGAACAGAAATGTTCTCCGTAAATATATCTTAGATTCAGAAACATACCAATATGTTTAATATACAGTGTGATTTAAAAAGGATTTTTATAAGTTATAGGTTGATTGAAAGGACTTTAAATATTGTATTTAGTTTATTTCATGCACATATTTAAAACTGTTCTTGTTATTCAATTCCATATGAACAACTGCACAAACTTGGTTTTTGATTAAAGCCAGACAATCTGTCAAATTATCAGGCTGCAATGAAGCTAAGTTAATAATTAGATGCAAAATATTTTATCTAGAGGTGCCTACCTCTAGGTAAAAGCTGATTAAGCTGTTATCTTATAGCCTTATACCCTGATGATAATATGGCTTTAATCAAAAGTATATATAATTATATACACATTATATTATGCCTGGGTAAAAATGACAGCTGGCTGAGTGCCATGGATGCTTAAGTCATTCCCAGTCAGTGTCAAGAGTAAAACCTGTATGGATTAGATATAACCTGTATGGTTATATCTAAATGAACAATTCTGAAAGTGAAGATTGATACAGGTTTAGGTAACATAACTGGCAACACATCTACATAGTAAATGAAGTTCAGGTTTGAGTCCTGCTCTAGACTGATTCTTTTCTTCCAGACAGTGTAAATTAAAATTAATTTATTATAATTATCACAAAATGGTGGCTTAGACAAGTTATTTCATATCTAATTATTAACTTGGCCTTATTATAGTTCAATAATTCAGCAGACCATATGGCTTTAATTCCATTAAATAAGCTGTTCTTGGAATATAACAATCTCTAAGCTTTGAAATGTTAAATTGATGATGGCTCGAGAAGTCAAAAACATTTTTTAAAACAAAGAAATTTTAGTAGCCTAAAAAAAAACAGTAGAAGATACTTTATTTATCATAATGGTACCAAGTTATGTTAATTTTAAGGACTGGTGGTAAAGTTGTAGATATAAAAGAAACTGACATTTCAGAAAGATATTTAGCTGTTATTAATTGAAGTTTGTTCATTTTATACATTTGAAAGAATATAGAATTTTAATCAAAAGACTCAGAGAATTGGGGTGTTAATTTATAGCAAAACACATCACATTTGTCTCACATAGTACAGAAATATTTCATGAGACTGACGAAGAGGAGACATTCTTGGACAACAGTGATGAGTTATCTTCAGTGATGAGTCGACATTTCATCACATTGGTAAAGTAAACACTTGTAACTGCAGGATTTGGGGCTTAAAAAATCCATAAGTAACTGTCGAACATGTTTATGACAGTGCAAAAGTAAACATGTTTTGTGCTCTTAGCAAAGATAACATACAGAACCTTTGTTTTATCAGCAGTAACATTTATCTGAATTTGTTGGAAAATTTTTTCATTTTACAATTAAATAACAATGACACACAGATGCATGCATTTTCAACAAGATTGCACATCATTCCACTACTGTTCAGATGTCCAGAATTTTGCTCAATAAATGTTTATCAGATGGTGGATTGGTCAAGTAAGGTTGATAACATGGCTATCTTAAAATTTTGTATGCTTTCAAAGTTGTAAAGTTTTTTGAATTTTCCTGTACTGTACAGATATCTAAAATTACTATACAATAAATGTATATNACTTCATAATTATATATAATATATAAATATTTAAAAAAACTTACTTCTACAACAGCATTATTTTCTAATTTGTATTTATTTCCAGTTAATACTGGTTTTCCATCTACAAAAAAAGGGCGCTTTCCTTCATTTGCTATATAAAAATCACCATTATGTAACTTTATGACACCTTGCCTTCTAGATATCTTCCATGCAGGACCTTCTAGTGACAAATCTACATCGATATTAATATCTTTGGTTGCTCTACCTAAGGTAATCTGAAAAATTAATTTTATAAATAACTTATGGTAGATTTTAAAGATTAACATTTTAAAGCAATTTACTTCTCTGGATCTCATAAGATATCGTACAAGTCTTCCTCTCAAAACGGCAAGAGTTTGGTTATCAAAATCTGCAGGACTTACTCCTAAATGTTCCAGAAATACATACAATTAATTTTTTAAAATTTTATATGAAATTACTGAGTTTTACTTTTCTTACCTGTAATACTGTCAACTAATACCTGCCATTTTGGAAGTTCATTCTCTAACTGGCGGATGTCTCTCTTTGCACATCGATCAGCAATAGTTAATTCTATAAAATAAGATAATTACTATTAATTCTGCAGTTCAAAATTCCTGACAGTATTAGCAGGTTTTAAAAGAACTTTTATGGAAAGTACAATATTTTACTGATGAAAAATATCTAAAATAAAAATCCATCTTTGCTATTCACATACATCATAATACCATCAATTCTAAAAGCTTAATTTTAAGCCAACCTGATATATTCCTAAAAATCAAGTTTTTTAACTCAAAATTTTTATTTAGGCTTATACTCCCCTAATAAGTTGATCCCCAACATACACTTGGCTAGAACCAAAATGTGAGACATAGTATATAATATTTATATAGTTCTTATATTAGAGATTTTTCAGATTTAAAAAGACAACTTATAGTGATGTGAGACCCAAGAAGCAGCAACTTCCACTAGGTGATGTGAGATCCAAGAAATAAATAGAGGACTGTATTGGTATCTTCTAATCACTTTAATATTTTTATTAGCTTGATTTTTCTCACAGCAAACAGTCGTTTGTTTTCAAATTTAACTTGATTTTTACTGGGAACATTGGGGACAACTTATACAATGCAATTTATGGTAATCAACACATTCCATATTAATTTTAAAATAAGTTTCATAATTTGCTTTTTTCAGACACAATAACGTGACTTCTTTTAAAGACTTGGCAGATTATCCATCACTTTATTTAGGTGGAATCAAAAGTTTCATAATATTTTGAAAAGAACCTTATTTTCATAATATTTGAATACTGAAAATATTTGAAAGTAGTGTAAGAAAGAAAATAACTGATTTCTGTAAAAATGAAAACAGAATTCAGTTTGATGTAAAACAGAAACTAAAATATATCAATTAAAGATATAGTTCCTCAAAAACTTTTCTCCATAAAATAATGAAACTTGAAAAAAGTTTCATTGTTTGTATGGCTTACACTACAATGTTAATGTTTTAAATCAGAGTCAATTTATTTTTAAATTATTTATTTACCATGTTCTAATGCTTCATCTGCTGGTTCCCTAGAAAATAAATTAAAATATCTCATTAATAAGATACATTTATTAATTAAAATAATTTTATTCTAATTTATATTCTTACTGTGCTTTTATTTATAGAATCCAGAATGATTAAAATTACATATCTTTAACCATGGAAATAATTAAAATTGCTAAATATAAATGAATGAAAATTAAAACAATCAAACTTCATTAGTTTTTGATGAGATCTAAATCAAAAAGGAGCAATTATTTATTTTGACATTGTCACAATGCCAAACTGCAATTTTTAATCATATTTTTAATTTATTTCATTTAAAGTATATGATCTCTGTAGTGATATCAAACCCACTCACTCCCCCCTGAGTGAGATCCATGTTTTATATATAAATATAAATCTGACAAAGTATATATGTTAATTTATTTATTGTTCTAAGAATGCTGAAGTTTAAATTTTAAACAAAAAAAGAATGTTATGAAAGAAAGAGATTTGGAATGCCGGAACGCATGAGGAGAATTCGAATACTCTACAGTATATATTTTGTCATATTTATATTTATATGTTAATTTATTTATTGTTCTAAGAATGCTGAAGTTTAAATTTTAAACAAAAAAATAATGTTATGAAAAAAAGAGATTTGGAACACCAGAACAGATGAGGAGAATTCAAATGCTGGAAAGTTTAAGGAAAGGTTTGTTATTTTTTTTATAATAAGCTCTCTTAACTCCAATATCTTTAGACCTTCGTCTGTTGTGCCACAAAGCTTTTCCACCACAATCTGTAGATTCCCTTTTAACTCCCTTTACTCCTAGCATTTCATCATGAAATTTTGTTTCCAACAATGTAAAGAAACAAAGGTTTACTTATCCCTTCTCTGACAGATAATTAGTGCCATGCCTCAACTATCCACTCGGCTCAGTTATCGATCAACTCTTCTTGTTTTGGAACATAATCACTTTTTATAAATCCAATCCTGTTAGCTGCACCAATGTAGGTGATCATCTATCACCACAGGTCCTTTTCTAAAAGAAAAACCTTCAAAGGATTTGAAACATTTCTTTAATTCTCCAAAAAAAAAAAAAAAATAACGAACCTTCCCTTAAACTTTCCAGCATTCGAATTCTCCTCATGCGTTCCGGCATTCCAAATCTCTTTCTTTCATAACATTCTTTTTTTGTTTAAAATTTAAACTTCAGCATTCTTAGAACAATAAATAAATTAACATATATACTTTGTCAGATTTATATTTATATATAAAACATGGATCTCACTCAGGGGGGAGTGAGTGGGTTTGATATCACTACAGAGATCATATACTTTAAATGAAATAAATTAAAAATATGATTAAAAATTGCAGTTTGGCATTGTGACAATGTCAAAATAAATAATTGCTCCTTTTTGATTTAGATCTCATCAAAAACTAATGAAGTTTGATTGTTTTAATTTTCATTCATTTATATTTAGCAATTTTAATTATTTCCATGGTTAAAGATATGTAATTTTAATCATTCTGGATTCTATAAATAAAAGCACAGTAAGAATATAAATTAGAATAAAATTATTTTAATTAATAAATGTATCTTATTAATGAGATATTTTAATTTATTTTCTAGGGAACCAGCAGATGAAGCATTAGAACATGGTAAATAAATAATTTAAAAATAAATTGACTCTGATTTAAAACATTAACATTGTAGTGTAAGCCATACAAACAATGAAACTTTTTTCAAGTTTCATTATTTTATGGAGAAAAGTTTTTGAGGAACTATATCTTTAATTGATATATTTTAGTTTCTGTTTTACATCAAACTGAATTCTGTTTTCATTTTTACAGAAATCAGTTATTTTCTTTCTTACACTACTTTCAAATATTTTCAGTATTCAAATATTATGAAAATAAGGTTCTTTTCAAAATATTATGAAACTTTTGATTCCACCTAAATAAAGTGATGGATAATCTGCCAAGTCTTTAAAAGAAGTCACGTTATTGTGTCTGAAAAAAGCAAATTATGAAACTTATTTTAAAATTAATATGGAATGTGTTGATTACCATAAATTGCATTGTATAAGTTGTCCCCAATGTTCCCAGTAAAAATCAAGTTAAATTTGAAAACAAACGACTGTTTGCTGTGAGAAAAATCAAGCTAATAAAAATATTAAAGTGATTAGAAGATACCAATACAGTCCTCTATTTATTTCTTGGATCTCACATCACCTAGTGGAAGTTGCTGCTTCTTGGGTCTCACATCACTATAAGTTGTCTTTTTAAATCTGAAAAATCTCTAATACAAGAACTATATAAATATTATATACTATGTCTCACATTTTGGTTCTAGCCAAGTGTATGTTGGGGATCAACTTATTAGGGGAGTATAAGCCTAAATAAAAATTTTGAGTTAAAAAACTTGATTTTTAGGAATATATCAGGTTGGCTTAAAATTAAGCTTTTAGAATTGATGGTATTATGATGTATGTGAATAGCAAAGATGGATTTTTATTTTAGATATTTTTCATCAGTAAAATATTGTACTTTCCATAAAAGTTCTTTTAAAACCTGCTAATACTGTCAGGAATTTTGAACTGCAGAATTAATAGTAATTATCTTATTTTATAGAATTAACTATTGCTGATCGATGTGCAAAGAGAGACATCCGCCAGTTAGAGAATGAACTTCCAAAATGGCAGGTATTAGTTGACAGTATTACAGGTAAGAAAAGTAAAACTCAGTAATTTCATATAAAATTTTAAAAAATTAATTGTATGTATTTCTGGAACATTTAGGAGTAAGTCCTGCAGATTTTGATAACCAAACTCTTGCCGTTTTGAGAGGAAGACTTGTACGATATCTTATGAGATCCAGAGAAGTAAATTGCTTTAAAATGTTAATCTTTAAAATCTACCATAAGTTATTTATAAAATTAATTTTTCAGATTACCTTAGGTAGAGCAACCAAAGATATTAATATCGATGTAGATTTGTCACTAGAAGGTCCTGCATGGAAGATATCTAGAAGGCAAGGTGTCATAAAGTTACATAATGGTGATTTTTATATAGCAAATGAAGGAAAGCGCCCTTTTTTTGTAGATGGAAAACCAGTATTAACTGGAAATAAATACAAATTAGAAAATAATGCTGTTGTAGAAGTAAGTTTTTTTAAATATTTATATATTATATATAATTATGAAGTAAGATTGAAATTAATTTTTTTTTGAGATATCTATATGAAAAACATTTTCTCAGTAATTTAAATTGGTTTATTTCTATAGATATATTTTGTTTTTAATTTAAAGTTTAACTGCCTGTCTGATGATATGAATCAGATTGTTTGTTGGAAGTAAGCTCAAAATTGCTTTAAAGAACTTGCATAGGAACATCGAGTGATTGATTATACAGACTACTATTTAAAAAGGAAATGCATTTTGGGTTATTTGCCCGTCATCATTCCTGTACAATAAATTATACTATGGATTACAATCATTAAATGAATGGTCGTAATCCATAGTGTAATTTATTGTTTGAATTTACCAGATATGTTGTAGAACTGTAGGAATAAATTTGTGTGATAAGTTCTCTACAGCAATTTTATACTTACTACCAATGAACTTAAATAGAGAACAAGGAAGCAATCAAGTACCAAACCAAATTGATATGATAGCAGAGAAGAGAGAGATCAATACATAGTTTGTTATATTAGATATATACAGGATGGGCCAACGAAAATGAAACGGCAGAGTTATCATGTTTGTCTAAGCAAATCGCTCAGACAGGTCGATTTTATTCTCAAGGGGGACATCTTCTGCAATAAAGATTTTGCTATTCTGAATACAACAGACAACAAAAAATTTTAAACATTCATTCATTTTTTTATTAACTAAACAAACATTTAGTTTGGAAAAAAAGTAACAAACTATTAACAAACAAAAAAACCTTTTAAGCTAGACCACATATACAAGGAAAAAAAATCGATCATAAAATTAAGACGGATAATGTGTTATCTGTTTTCAGATGTTCTTTTTTGTAGTGTTCACATTAAGCTTGACCATCTAGTGATTCAATCAGAATTTAAGATTATTATTTATTTATTGTGAATTTTGTACAACATAATTGTTATGGTTTACACAATTGCTGAAAAGGTGGAAATAGTAACTTTTCATTTCAGAAATGACAAGAATGCTCATCTTACTGCAAATTTATTTAATCAAAGCTATCCAAACAAACATTGTAACGCAAAATACGTTCTGAAGTTGGTTCAAAAGTTTCAGTTAATGGGTTCTGTGGCTAACAAAAAACGCACCCCCCCTGGACTTGAACATCCAGTAAGAAATGAAGCGACAGAGATTGGGATTTTAGGGCAAGTTGCTGCGGACCCAACTTTAAGTACAAGGAAGCTGGAGGCTATGACTAGCATTAGCAGAACATCTATTCGCCAGATCCTCAAAGCTCACAAGTTTCATCCATACAAAATTAATTTAGTTCACCAATTAAATGATGATGATTTTGATCGACGACAGCAATTTTGTGAAATTATGACAGAAAGGTTAAGACTTGTCATGGATTATCTTTTTAACATTTGTTTTTCCGACGAGTGCACGTTTTTTTTAAAACTCAATGGTTAGTTGTCACAATTGTTGATATTGATCAGATAATAACCCAAGTATATTTCATGAAGTTCGTAGCTAAACTCCACAAAAGCTAAATGTGTGGGTTGGAATCTTTGGATATCGAGTACTTGGCCCCATTTTCTTAGATGGTAATCTAATGGGAGAAAGTTATTTAAATTTACTTGAAAATGCTGTACATCCATTACTTGTTGATATTGTCGAACATGACGACTGATACTTAGAAGACTGCCTTATTTTCCAACAAGATGGAGCCCCCCTGCATTATGCAAGACCAGTTACAGAGTTTTTGAACACGGCTTTTCCTGGGCATTGGATCGGACATAGAGGTCTTTTAGTATGGCCGGCTAGATCCCCAGATCTTAGTCCTCTTGATTTTTTTTTTCTTTGGGGACATTTAAAAAGTAAGATCTATGCAACCGAACCAGGATCTCTTAAAGAATTAAGACAAAGAATTGTAGATGAGTATTCTCAAATAACACCCAAAACTTTCCGAAATATAAGAAACCGTTGTGAGCAAAATTTATACTATTGTGTGGAAACTAGTGGTGCTCAATTCAAACATTTATAGAATACTTGATAACTTTTTCTTATGTTTGTTACTTTATTTGAAATAAATGTTTGTTTAGTTAATAAAAAATGAATGAGTTTTTAAAATTTTTTGTTGTCTGTTGTATTCAGAATTGCAAAAACTTTATTGCAAAAGTTGTCCCCTTGAGAATAAAATCAACCTGTCCGAGCGATTTGCTTGGACGAACACAGTAACTCTGCTGTTTCATTTTTGTTGGCCCACCCTGTATGTAACTGTGAATGACAGATATCTGGCAAATGTCAACATTCTCCAGTGAATGTCAGCATTCATGTAGTCGCTTGGTGTATGTACAAAATATTTGCTAAGTATCATTATTTCTGACCTACACTGACAAATGTCGACAATCAGCATTACCTGATTTAACCATCAGTGCATGCTAATTGTCGACATTTGCTAGTGTAGTGAGAAATATTATGTTGAATAAAAATATTTTTATTGTGTTAAGACAAAAATGCAACTTTTTAATATGTCAAAATAGGAGAAAGCTTAAGTAACAGCACATGTAAATAAACTGTTGAAACTAAAATGAACAGTACATTCTAAATCATCAAAAAAGATAATGCAATAATAAACTTACACATAAATTATCTGATTAACATTATACAATCTTATTTATTGCTACAACTTAAACTGTTATGGCACTTTGAATTGCACAAGAGTCCCTTGCTTTTACAATTGCATTTATTTATCACCAATTTGAGCAGAAAGAAATGGCAAAGAATTTGGCGACAGACTGTTGCCTCTCTGTTGACATCAGCTTCTCGGGTGTTGTTTCAACCTCCTCCAAAGCTTATCTGTGCTTGTCAACATACACTAGCAATTGTTCGAATGTATAATAATACAGTAGAGCATCGATTATCCGACTCAATTGGGGACTGGGGTTGTCGGATAACCGAAAAATATGAAAAAATACATTAGTATAGTATATTAGTATATCTCATGTAATTAGAATATTGCTATTAATGTACTTTGTGTTGAATTTTCATCAATGTTAAGCCTAACAAAAATTTTTTTAAAATAATAATTGTTGCTATCGTATTGTTAAAAATTAGAAAATTAAGCCTCGTTTAAATACTGGCTCCCTTTCATGGTCGAGCCAGTGTTGCCAGCTAAAACACGTGATAATAATATTAAAGTAGCCAAGACATAGCCAAATATTGTAGCACCACATCACTAGCGGACATTTGAATTTGCCGACTAGAACGGTCGGTTAACCGATGTGACGGTTAATTAGGGGTTGGATAATCGATGCTCTACTGTATAACCAAATATTCGGTCTTTCACTGACATATTTTGTATGTGTTGACATTCACCAGAGAATATTGACATTCTCTAATTTTGGTCATTCACAGTAACATATATATATGATAGTTTTTTGTCATTTTAATAATGAAGTGTCATTCCTTAACAGGTTAAAATATAATAAATAAATATATTGAAGATATAAAACATTTTCTATCATTTACAAACCATTAGCAACAGTCCAAAACAATTTTCACTTAAAGTGATGACCTTTTATTTGAGGTTGTGCCTCTGCAAAAAAATAAATAATGGATTATAAAAATCATCATCTGAATAGAAGTTTTGAATGATTTGAATTTTATACTTTGTAAATTAAAATCAAAATTATTTGCATTACAAAATTAAATGCATAGAAGTATCATAAAAGTAGCCTATAAATGAAAAGTGTGAAAAGGACAAGATTTAAAAGAAGACACTTTTGTGATACTTCTATGCGTTTAATTTTGTAATGTATTAATATTTTCCAGGCATTTTTTAATTAATGTTTAATTGCAAGATTATTTGTTTTTTGGGATTTCTTTTTATTGAGATGTGTGTGATCATAACAAATTTTTAAAAATTTACATTTAACATAATAATAATTTATGATGAACCAATTCTTGTTAATTTCTTTAGAGTAAAAAGTAATTGAATAATATAACATTTAATTCTTTTGAAAATAATACTTCTCATGTTTATTATGTTCATAACAAATGAAATAATGAGCTAATTCCTGTATGAAAAGCAATGAATATTCATAATTGAATTCTGTTAATACACACATTTCACACTTGTACAGCTCATCTTGTACAAGTGTGAAATAGAGAGTATTAAAGCCACAGACAATAAATTGTACAACAAAGCTATAAATGATATAATTTTATATAAAACTTGAGATAAAAGATATAAAGAGTATAAAAAATAAAAATTTTGAAGTTTATATATATATTCCTGGAAACAAATTGCTTATAATTTTCTTATATATATATATATATATATATTTATATATATATATACAGTAGAGCGTCAATTATCCGAAAGTCAATCATCCGAAAGAATTCCTGTCGGAAAATTTAAATTTTCTCCAATGCTGTGGCGCTGCAATCTTTGGCTATGTGTTGGGCTACTCAAATATTTTACGTTTTTGATACTAAATTAACTTCTGAAGTATTATTTTTTATTGTTTTTATATTTATCAATATATTTATTTTGTTCGTATAAAACAAAAAAATAATTTTTAACGATACAATAGTCTTCGTTAGGCTTAACATCGACGAAAATTCAACGCGAAGCGACACGCAANTCTAATTTTTAACGATACAATAGCAACGATTATTATTTTAAAAAATTTTTGTTAGGCTTAACATCGATGAAAATTCAACGCAAAGTGGGTTAATAGCGATATACTAATTACATGGGATATAATAATATACTACACTAATAATGGATTTTTTCATACTTTTCGGTTATCCGACTTTTCAATTATCCGACCAACCCCAGTCCCCAATTGGGTCGGATAATCAAGGCTCTACTGTATATAAGAAAATTACAAGCAATTTTTTCTATATATATATATATATAGAAAAAATTGAAGCAGTTTGTTTCCAGGAGTAATAGGTAAGAATTAAGTGTTAAATAACAGCTAACTTTGAATATATCTACCATAAATTGTGGAATAAGAAATAATGTTTGTCACCTGTAAATGAGTATCAAAATAGAGTATAGCAGATTCTTAACTGTCAAATAAACTATGAAGTACTTAACTATAACAGAACATCTTTCAATGATCGGCAGCACATTCTCAGTGGAACAGCAACATCTAACAGAAGTGGACTATAAACCAGCTTTAAGTCAATTTACTTTTATGAAAATTAAACAAAAAATGTGATAAAATTTTATTTTTGAAATTACACCAAAAGCAGATTATTCTGTCTACAGTTCATTCTGTCATTGACTGCAGCTTTACAAACAAACTTATCAAATTTTAATGTCTGATTCAGTTTTTGTGCAATAAATCTAAAAATTTGTTTAACCTGTCATTGGTTCACTAGGATCTTTAAAATCTTGGATGTTTTAATTTTGATATTTGCTGACATACTGCTCTCATCACTTACATTCTCTTTCTTTCTTAAAAAATTCTAGATAAAATTATGACTATTAATTTTTCTAACATAATTATTTGAAATACACAAACTGTATTTAGGTGTTTACCAGACTAATTATGTTGCAGTTTACTTGAATTTTCAGAAAATTGATAAAAGTTGATTATTGCAGAAAGTGAAATATCAAATTATCAAATTAAAATATAATAAATAAATATATTGAAGATATAAAACATTTTCCATCATTTACAAATCATTAGCAACAGTTCAAAACAATTTTCACTTATAATGACGACCTTTTATTTGAGGTTTGCCTCTGCAAAAAAATATAAAATGGATTTTAAAAAATCCTCTGACAATGATGCCAATGCCATAATTCACAATATAATTGATTAAAATTAAAACTGAAAGTGAAGACAGTTTTGTATCTTCAATATATTTATTTATTATATTTTAATGTATCATAAATACCATTGGTTAATTTTTATTCTTTTATAATATTACTGGCGATGTCGTTCAGACAATAGTTGCCATCCCCCATACAACAATGAAGCAAAAGACACAGTAAAATTAATTTAAAAAAAAAAATACACAATAAATAAAACAATTAAATATAATAAAGCATTTTTTTTGTAAACAGCCTTAACTGTAGTGAAATTAATGTAAAGTTTATCTTTGATTTTTATGGCACCTTTCTGGTAGCAGTAACAAAAGATTTAATCATATAAATAAACATCTCCAAACCCGATATCCAATATAGTAAGACACCAACCGAATGCCGTAAATTAATCGGGCTATTTTTATGCTATTTTTATACTATTTTTATGCTATTTTAGCATAAAAATAGCCCGATTAATTTACGGCATTCGGTTGGTGTCTTAAAAGATTTAATCGTAACATTAAGACAACAATATGGAGTGTAAATTAGTATTTCTAGTATTGACAGAATGAATATGAAAGTATATATATATTGGGATGGGAGCAGACCATTAAAATATTAAAAAGTATACATTCAATCAAAATATTCAATGCATTTTTAGAAATTTTGCAAACCTAGGTGAACATGTTCAACTTCTTGCAGTCTGTAATTGGAAGGTAAGAAAATTTGATAAGTAAAAGGTAAATTTTAGCCAATTCTGTATATAGTTTATTTAAGGTAGATGAAGCCCAAGGGTAGGGCATAGTCTATTATAGACTGTATGTTGGTGAAAATAATACTCTAAATGTTTTTATTAAAAATTACTTTAAAGTTTCACCAATAATTGCAATAAATTGAAATATCTAAGTTTTTGCTGAAAATACTCCATTCATTTTTCAATTTAGTATCCAAATACAAATGTGAGTTCATTGCAATATTTTTTTTATCATAGACTGTCTTTATCATGTAATAGTTGCAGTAAAATACATAAAGACTAAAATTTCTTGTGTACTTTACATATTTTGTATTAAGCCTATTGAAGGAGTGAAAAGCCATGTGAAGACAGTCACAAGAACTAAGAGAGAAGTATCTCAAAAATTATAGACAATACTGAATAAATTAAGTCATTTCAAATTGTAGACATAAATACTGTGGTAACTCTCCATGCAAAAATGTAATGTAATTTCATGTGAGGAAAATGTCAGTTCTACATTAGAGCCACAGGATAATTCTAAATAGGTTAGCTGTGACAAAAATTCTTTATATACTTCATCTAGTCAGACTAGATGAAGTATGCAAAGAATTTTTATGCTTATGCATTTTCTGATCAAAATAAATAATAATAAAACCTAATTCCTAAGTTTAGTGAGATCATTAATCAGGCAGTTTAATATTAATTTCAGCTTATGATTTGAGTTTTGATAACATTTTTTATATATATTTATATACTTAAATAATAAATGAATGCTTTCCCATATATAAGCATTCAACAAGCATTGTATATCCACTACATACTAGGGATTGTAAATGTACCGACTTTTGCATTTACCGGTAATTCGGTAAATGAAAATTAAAATACCGGTTTACCGGTAAATTACTGGTAAATTTTTTTCTTGAAAAATAAAATTAAGGTGATAAAAAATATGTCATTATGATTTCCATTTCACATTTTTATTTCAAAGATATCAAATATAAAAAATATAAAAATTAAAGTGTTATTCTAAACAAACTATAATAATAACTTTTAGAAACAGAAATAAAATAATACAGAAATAATATATTGTACCTAATACCATTTTATTGATTACCATTTTTTAAAATTAACTTCTCAAGAAACTTAAATTATTTATAGTCTTATCTCCTAATTTTGATCTAATTTTTGTACAAAATAAACCAGATCCCGAGAATACCCTTTCTGATTCAACACTTGTTGGACGAATGGTTATTAAATTAAAATTAAACTAAAACTATCTCACATAAAATTAATAATGATATATATTGTTGCTTACACTTACCTGTTTTTTTGTTTTTTTTCAATGTCCCTTTAGTCCATTTGAATATCTATAAACACAATATTTTCTACATAGAAATTTCTAGTATGGATTTTTCATTTACCGAATTACCGGTAAATTTACTGAATGTTTTTTTTTTGCCAATTTATCGGTAAACCGGTATACAATCCCTACTACATACCATTATATAACCATAAAATTTTATTCAATTTCAGTATCTAGAATCTTCATTCTTCATAGACAATATCAGGTGCTCACACACACACAGTGAGAGAATGGTCTTGCTCTATATGGATTCATATTTTTCATAGATGGCAAATGGTTAGACTAACACTTGGATGCACATGGGTAATTATGAATAATAATAAAAAAGTCAGCATGTACTGTACGTTAACAAATTCACTTATGCAACCATTTACAGTTAACACAAAAACATAAGTGTGTGGCATCTGGGATTACTTGGGTAGAGTGCAAGTTCACATAGAATTTTGTTTTATTTGGTAGCTGCCAACACAGCCCTTGCATAAATTATGACCATATTGTATGTATAATGTAGATATTTGCTAGTAGTATGTGCTTTATTTAAAATAATTCTTTGAATTTCAGATTGTTGGCCTTAGATTCATCTTTCTCATCAATCAAGATCTCATAGCTGCCATCAGGGCAGATGCAACCAAGAATATTGGCTGATTCTGACAAATGTCAGACGTCCGATCCGATCCCATTTAAATTTGTAAAGTGTCCATAATGGTGCTATTGTTTAGACTATGTGACCACAATATCTTGTTCAAATGTGTCATAAAACCATGTGTATAAAATGTATATTTTGCTTCATCATATCATATTAAAATTTTTTCATAACTTTTAAGTTTTGTGTGTGCACCATTTTCAATTGTTGCAAATATTCAGGATGATTCATAATATGAATAAATTTTATCAGAGAAATATGGGATTAATTTTATACATATAATTAAAAGATTTCTTCCTAGCTTCAGAATATCATAATGATAAAATATATTTTAAGTAAATGAATAATTCCAAAATTATAATAAATACACCATAATTTTTAAGTGGTAAGAATTCTGACCCAGACAAATTCAGCTTTTTCTAACATATTAATCATCAAATATTTTTCAAGTAGTTTGAAATAACAAAAAAGGTTGATTTTAAATTTTGAAGTATTGAACGACAAGTATGAAGTAAACTACTATAAAGCACACAAACAGATGCAAGTATTAAATTTTCAGGTAATTGATACTATCAACTCCAAAGTAGTTATATGCATATTTTAAATGTAGCAGCATGATCTCGCCAGGTTCTCAGGTAAGAACTTGAAAATATGGCTATTATCCAAGAATTAACACCTATGTCTAGATCAGATGGGATTTCATGCTTGCTTTAGTGGCAGCATGATTTTGTTACATTGTGATGATGTCATAAAACATTCTAGCATTTTATAGGAACAGCGGTGCACTCACCATCTACTGCATCCCGATAGCAATGACCATCACCCAAAAATAATAGCTTTTAATTAATTAAAACATTAAGAAAGTGAAATTCTAATCTTATGTTCTGATTTTCATTTTACTTTCTTAAATTATTAGTTTGTAAATATTTTGTATAAACTTGATGTAATTTAGTGTAAATACACTAAATAACATCAAGTTTATACTTAACTTTTAACATAAAAACTTAACTTTAAATATTTTAAAACTTAACTTTTTCATAAAAATTTAGTTTTATACACAAATGTATATTTAAGTACTGTACATATAAAAATATGTACTGTACTTAAGAATTTCAATAGGTAAATATTTAAGGAAATAGTGCAATCATTTAGTAAGCATAACACTAAACTCAATCATCAATTTGAGCCATTTTTCTGGACGAGCAATATAGTCTGATTAAAAATCATAGAGACTGAGTAAACATCCAAATAATGCTGAATATTGATTTTAAGCTCAAGTAATTCTGCATTGTTGCTTTTTATAGGTCTTTTTTACAAATATTGCAATATTTGGAAGTTAAGCCAATTTTTTAGGAAAAACATTTTTCTAAATTCTTGAATTTTAAATTAAGGCTTTTGAAATTATTAAACTTTTAATACTTGTTTTAGATTTATATGAGTTTTAAAAAAATCAAAAGATGCAAATATAGTTCTGATATTTTGCTCAAAACTAATTTTGAGAGTTGCTCCAGAAATAAAGTAACATTTAAGTGGAATATCACATTTTTGCAAAAAGTAATTGTCATTTTGATAATCTAACTACTAATTTCATATTATAGAAAATATTGACTATATAAATGAGAAAAAAACAATTAGCAACAATATTTTATTATGAGAATTGAAATTCAATACAATTGTTTACAAAATTATACTGAAAATGTTCTAGTTATATATTTAAAAAAATGTGCTTTGAATTTTATTCATATAACTTTTCAAATATTAGACAAAAATTATTCTTAAAAAAATATCTTGAATGTTGACTTAAACCATCAGTTTTTGAAAACTGCCAGTCAAAAATATAATAATAATATTCTATGATAATTTTTAATAAGTAACTTAAAGAACAACTACTGAGATCAGAAAATTATCAAAATTACTCTTTATTCTGTAATATTTTTGGTCATTTTATGACCATCTTTGGCTGGATTTTATGCATTTTCATTTTTAATAACTATATACATTGTATTTTGTAATATTTCCATAAATCTGTATATTAGGTTTAAGAAAATCTTTTTACATTGATGATTCATTATTTTTAAAAAAATATATATATAAACATATAAACAAATGTGCCATTTCATGACACCAGATTTATCACAAAATAGGACTGAGAGGCTAACTATCAAAAGTAACATAAAATATAGCACAAATTAACTGGTTTTTAATTTGTGCCCTCATATTTTCAGCATTTTACTACATTTATCTAAAGTTAGTCTTGTGTGGATTCACCATATTTATCCTGCATTGTTCTTCTTCAAAGAAGCTAGTCCCAATGAAAAAAATTATTTTCTTTTTTTAATATTTTAATATAAATTTCCTTTATATTAAAAATATTTGGTCCAATATAATTTTATAAAAATATTAAATCTGCATAAAATTATATCTGTTTGGTAAAGACTATCTACCATTGTACTTTTGCATTTGATATATAATGTTGATAATATATCTTGATTATAAAAAAATGTTGCTTTTGTTTGCAATGAAATTTTTTTCATCCGGTTGTCTGGCGAATGTTTTGAGTTGCCGAGGCATCTTCGTACTTAGGAGGAGCATCTAACAACTAAAGTTTTTAAAAGGTTATTGATTAAATAGAGGTTAATAAAATTTAAAAAATTCCATTTTAAATATTTACTTGAATTGTTTCATATGGTGGAGGCTTATCATCTAGTGTATTATCTGAATGATTATAATTTCTTTGCTGTGTTGGTAAGGTGGTTTCTCTAGGAGCAGATGGGTGTGAAGAATAAAATGAACCTTCTCTTGATGGCTCCTGCCATTCTGATCTGTGGTTTGGGCAGTTCATATCCTGCATCCTGAAATAAATAAATTTCTAATTTTGTAAAAAGAGGATTTACTTACAGACATATTTATCAATCTTAACAGTATAACAATGTTTCAATAATGTATGCAACAAGCTGATTCAATTAATATTGCCAAACAATCCACCAGATTATTTATTGGGCTACATTAAGGCTAATTTAATAATAAGATATAAAGCAATTTGGCTGGAGGTAAGCAGTTAGGCCATCTACCTGTAGCCAAATCACTTTATATCTAATTAAATTAGCCTTAATGTAGTGTGATAAATAAAATGGTGGACTGTTTGGAAATACTAATAAACTGTTAATTCTTAAAACCCTAAAATGATTAATCATTCATTATAAAAAGATAAAATTTACACTGATAACTCAATGAAATTATCATCATGAAGTAATTTTGTGACAGCATTCCTTTTGATTATCAACTAATAAATATAGTAAATAATTATATTTGCCTAAGTATGCTTTCAGTTTAAAAACTTAAGCAGCTTTCACAGTTATCTAAATATATAAAATTACTTGTCCTGACTGACTGAGTGATTGATTCATCATCATCCAGAGTAAACCACTGAACCTAGAGGTGAAATTCTGTACATGGTACATCATGAAAATGCACAATAAGAAGGAATTTTTCAAAATTCCCCTTTGCAGGAAAGGGAAAGGATTAATGCTTAACCTGAAGAACGGATTCTACTGTTCTATTTTAGATGCAAGTTTTTGTTTTTAATTACGTTTAGTCTTCATTGAGTTCTTAGGTGTATTAAATTGATAACATTTCAGACATTATTATAAATATTTTCACATATTTCGATTTTTTAACCAAATGTTCAAAACATTTTAAATTCGAATTTGTTATTGCATATTGGTTCGATTATAGAATGATTGTAAACATTCCAGAAAATTGATCAAATTGAAAACAGTTTGTTTGATTTGCAGCAATTCTCATCATTCTCAGCAGTAGGTGTTATATAACAATTACTATGGTTGTTGAAATACTGAATATAAATGGGGTTTGCTTGCAAAACCCCCACAGGCGAAGTCGCAGGTAACAGCTAGTATTCTATATACTGAGTGATCATACACCTGTTCAATTCTGTTAGAGATATTTAGCAGTCCAAATGCAACCAAATATTATATTGTGGCATTTTTATGGAAATGTGGAATACATTTCCATAAAAATAAAAAATTTGTACCAAAATTCACCCCATGGAATTTTGGTTCTATAGACAATGAAAAAGCAGTTTCTTTTCCATAAGTATATGTGCTGCAGCTAAGTTCCGGCTATAAAAGTGAATAAAGCTATTGAATCTCACTCTGTAATGACTATCATCTGACTAGAATATTTTGTGAAGCTGTGTTATGAAAACATGGAAGTGCTTTGTTGGCAATTCAGGAATTTTGCTGTCAAAAGAATTTATGCCGAGGACCATTAAATCCACAAGCTCTTGGGAGAATTATCATTCATTTTGAGGAAATTGAATGTTTGAGAGTTCAACCCAGTCAAGGATGCAAACCTAGCACTTCACAAATCATTAAAGATGTTACCATAGTTGTTGTTGAACACTAATGGATAATTCTGCAGTCTCTAGCAGTGCCAGTTGAGTGTATCCTATAGCATATTGTGCAAGATAGTGAGAAAGTTGGTGCATTGTTATTTATATTAGATTTCCTGTTGGCAGCAACTGATCATTGCCAGAACTCTATACATTAATCTTATAACAAATGCTGGCAGCAAAATCAATTTTTGGTAAATGCAGTTTTAGCAAAAACAGTTTTGAACAAGCAATGAAATTGGTATCATTATCATCAGATACATTATTATATTTATAAATGTGTTTACTTGCCTTTCCTGACTTTTAAGTAAAGTATACTTGGATTTAAGATGATTTGACATAACTGATGTACTACCAGAAAATTTCAATGTAACATTACAATTTGTACATAGTACCAATTTACTATCTTTTTTTTAAATGATGCCACAAATCACTCATGTTTAAATTTTAAAATTAAAAGTAACATAAAATATAGCACAAATTAACTGGTTTTTAATTTGTGCCCTCATATTTTCAGCATTTTACTACATTTATCTAAAGTTAGTCTTGTGTGGATTCACCATATTTATCCTGCATTGTTCTTCTTCAAAGAAGCTAGTCCCAATGAACCTGTGAAAGCTCAGAAATATTGAGAAATGCTCAACACTTTTGTTGTACTCCAACTTCAACAATGCCTTAAGTCAATGGTTCCCAAACTTTTTTGATTCTTGGTGCCCTTGCTAAATCCACATTTTCCCAAGGCACCCTATGTCAAATTCTAACAAGTACAATTTGTGAAATAATGAAATAGCCTATACTTTTTTAATTAAGTAAAATTATAAAAATTTTATAACATTTCGTGGCACCCTAGGGGGCACACTTTGGGAACCACTGCCTTAAGTTAATCAGTTTTTAGCACAATCAGATGCTGCATATAGCAATTTCTGCAATGTTTCATCAATAACAGTAATAAATTAAGTGTTTTCTACCACCTGCCATCTTGTTCTTCAGATCCCTGCACCTGGATCTTAATCTAGATTCGTGTGATTTTTGGTTGTGGAGATACTTAAAAAGTTTGGGTTATTGAGAACTTGTTGCAAATTTGACAGCCTTGAAAGATAATATCACATTGCTTTTGACAAGCATCACAGAGAAAGTACATTTGGTAATTGAACACTGTTTATTGTCTTTAGATTTTATAGCTTTAGAATGGGGACCACATTGAGCTAAGATTGTGATGATTTATTAAGGCATGGTATTAATATCTATAGTGCATCACAAAACTATCTGTATAATTAATATATGAATTATTACATTAATTATTCTTTGCATCATTTAAAATCAAACATTTTGTCATCTTCACCATATTTATTTTTAACCAGCTGTTACCCGCGACTTCACCTGCGCAGATTTTGCAAGAAAACTCCATTTATATTCAGTATTTCAACAACCATAGTAATTGTTATATAACACCTACTGCTGAGAATGATGAGAATTGCTGCGAATCAAATGAACTGTTTTCAATTTGATCAATTTTCTGGAACGTTTACAATCATTCTATAATCAAACCAATATGCAATAACAAATTCAAATTTAAAATGTTTCGAACATTTGGTTAAAAAATCAAAATATGTGAAAATATTTATAATAATGTCTGAAATGTTATCAATTTAATACACCTAAGTACTTAGTGAAGACTAAACGTAGTTGAAAACAAAAAATTGCATCTAAAATAGAACAGTAGAATCTGTTCTTCAGGTTAAGCCTTAGTCCTCTCCCTCTCCTCCCCCGCAGGAGAAATTTCAAAAAATCCCTTCTTAGTGTGCGTTTTCATGACGTACCCTAACTGTGTACCAAATTTCACCTCTTTAGGTTCAGCAGTTTGCTCTGGGAGATGGTGAATCAGTCAGTCAGTCAGGACAAGTAATCTATACTAATATTATAAAGAGGTAAAGTTTGTAAGTTTGGATGTAGGAGGTAATCTCTGAAACTACTCATCTGATTTCAAAAATTCTTTCACCAATATTTAGAATAGAACTTCAGGGTGGACATAGGCTGTATATTATTCCATAAACATTCATATAAATTAAAACATATCATCTAGGATTAAGGCTTTTATGTCCAACAGATGGAGCTAACTCTGCAAGTACAACGACCTAAGTTTGCTTTTCTGTGAGGCATTATGCTTTTCTGTGAGGATGAACTAAAGCAGATCATCTTATATCTATCTATATAAATAAAAATGTAATGTTCATTTGTTCCTACCGATTCCTTTGAAATTTTGACACAATGTTGCATTCAAATACATGTGTGTTATATAATATACATGTCGAAATTCCACCCACTGGAGGAGATGGACAGGATTAAGGCTTACCATGAAGAACTCTGCTTCTATTTATACTATTTTAGATGCGGTTTTTTGCATTTTAATAGGGTACGTCAACAGAATATACACTAAACAGGAATTTTTCGAAAAATTACTCCCCACGGGGAAAGTGTTATACACTTATAATAGATACATTTTGAGTCACAACAATGCATGGCGGGGTCTGCTAGTTTTATATATTTAGATAAGACTGTCATTGTATCCAATAAAATGATTAAATACTTACATAGGATAAATCCACCTTAAACCTACAAAAAGAAGGGCTACAACTCCAAGAGCTCCACATACTGCAAGAACAGTTTTCCATGGAAATACTGATCGTGTCTCTAAACTAGTAGACTGGACTGAAATAAAAAAAGCATGATAAATCAACAAATCAAAATTGATTAAAATTAGTTTATATTATGAGATACTAACTAACACATATATTAAGTGTATCTATCACTGGCTTTGCATGGGATTTGCTCTTTTCATGAAAATTTTCACAGAAGCAGTTTGTTTGTTTGCAGTAAGATCCAGAATAGTGTTCATAACAGTCATTATTGTCCCGACAGATGAATGGAGTTTGTCTATCTAAAATTTAAAAATATAAATATCCCACTTATAGATGTTTGTTACAAATTACTTGAGAAATGTTTTTGAAGCTTCTTTGCTTCATCTTCAGCTATCTTTTCAAAATTGTTCTTCTATTTAATGCATGGCTATTTAATTGGAATGCAGTTTAGAAGAACTGAAACATGATCTTTTAAAAATATTACCTTTTAAAATTTTATGCATAATTTATGAGTGTAGTTTAATAGTTTGAAATACAAATGAGAAGGTGTATGATAAATCAAATGAGTACTGAAAAGTGTGTGATGGTCTTCTTAGTAGATTCAGTGGCTACTATACAGTTTCAGGTTTTAACAACATTACATAATACCAAACGTTGTTAAAACCCGGAACTGTATAGTAGCCACTGACTCTACTGAGGAGATGAATGCGAAATGCATTTAGAGGTATCATTAGTTTATTAAAAGTATTTCTGCAATTGGATTCGCTGCTCTTTTAATTTTTAACTTTTACTACATTACTTTTACTTTACATTACAGTACAGTAGAACCTCGATTATCCGACCCCCGATTAACCGACCGTCCTAGTTGGCAAATTTCAAATGTCCGCTAGTGATGTGGCGCTACAATATTTGGCTATGTCTTGGCTACTTTAATATTATTTTTACGTGTTTTAGCTGGCAACACTCATTCNAAAATTAAAACTTCAAAACTCTTTGAAAAATTCCTGATGTCAGTAATAATATTTTATATTGTATGTTTTCCAAACTATTATATTCCAGCATCAGGAGAGACATAAAATAATAATATACCATTTTAAAATAATTTTCAAAATGGAATCCCAAATTTGTTTGATCAAATATTTTATATTTTCAATGAATGTTATAGTTAATTGATTATTTATTTATTCCAATTTTGTAACTTTTATCCAGATTTTGTTTTGGGCTGAAATTCTATTATATGACTAAATTACTTTTATTATTTAGATATAAAATACTAGAATTATAATCCAAAAGAAAATCTGACAATGTGTGTAATTTACATTAAGTTTATTATTTATATGTATCTTCTATTTTTTTCTGATAGGCTACATATCTGATATTTTAAATGGCTTTGTAATAAGATAATGCTAGAAATATTTAAGATATTAAATTTATTAACCTTTAAACCTGAGCTATATTTTAATTACAATTTTTTTATGTCTTCAAGAAGTTATTTAATGCTGTAAGCTTTTAAAATTATAATTCTATGATAAGTTTCACAAAACCTTTTTACACATTTTCTATAGTTTCTTGAGAGAACAAATATGTAAAAAGTTGTGTAAAATGTGTACAAAGGTTTTGTGAAACTTATTTAAAGAAGTTCTAGCTTTCCATGCATGGAAACTCTATGATAAACTGACTTATCAATATCTCAATATTCTTATATATGTATTATTTATAGACTTGATATTATCTTAAATTATTTGATATATTGATGAGACAACAGAAAAGTGAGAACTTTTAACAAAACAGTGAGAAAATATTTTGAGGAAAGACTAAAAATAACATGGTTTGAACTTGAGAAAACAAGTGGCCATAGTATTTGTAACAAACAATTACCAGTGATCATTATCAGTAAAATTTTATGTACAATAGGCATATTATATTGTATAGTATAGTATGCAATAATATTCCTTCTTCTTCAAATGTTACTGATTCTATACAATTTTATTGTTAATTTCAAAAATTATGCAGGTAACAAGCTTGTATTGATATCTATCAATTGTGGTAGAGAATATCAAATAATCAATAAATGATTTCAAAATCAGCATCAAAGAAGAAAGGTTTAACATAAAATGATGTAATGAAACTGTATCATATGTTGATTTACAGAAAATGAAATAAATATGTATCAAGTGTTGTCATGTCATATCATGTCCTTTTCAAATGATATTTTTACAAGGGTAACTTTAGATTTTCTGCATAAACAGGAATGAATCAAGTTTTTAGTGTATTTTTCTCCTGTTTCTATTGGTGTCTGAAAGTAAAATTATTAAATTAAAAAGGTAACATTTACTTAATTTAAAAACTGACATAAACATCAACTCTATATTATAAATTTAAAAATATAAATATACAATAGATCATCATAATTTTCTTTATTTTTCAATATATTCTTATTATTATAACATACTAATTGTTTAAATATTTTCTAAATATATCAGGCCTGGCCAACTTATATTTATTGATCTACTTTCATGAATCAAAAGTACCGCATTTTTATCCTTTTGGAAAATTTATTAATTATGCTGCAAAATATCATTAAGATGTATACATTTATTGTATGATCATTGACATTCCAGGTTACATTTATTTGGTAAAGGTGAATGTAGGATGTAGGAGCAGAATTTAACAGCAGAATTTATTTTCCATCATAATAAAACAGAAATTTTACTTTTTTTTGTACACATCAAATCATATTTTGCTCCTCTCTGGCATGTTCATTTTACACATAACAAACTGTGTAGGACATGACAAAACAATTTCTAAAATAATAACCTAACCTAGATATGACCAGCAGTAAAAAAAAACCACATTCAACTTTGTATTTCTTTCAGTACCTGCATGTGTTCTTTTCAATGTGTAACAATCAGAAACAGACAACCACAAATTATCTCAGAGTACAGTGTTACTAATCCATAAAGATAGTTAAAAGATTTCTCCATAGAAAACATGAAATTAATATTCCTATTAAAATTACAAATGTTTTTGTTTTAATAGGCTATATGACATACAATCAATCAAAAACTGATCAGCAATCACAACCGACTTGTTGGCCATGCCTGTAATATATAGTATAAACTTCATAAAATATATACAGTAGAACCCTGTTAAGAAGTTTTTGAAAGGACCACTGTAAAAAACTTCTTATGAGAGAATTGTAAAAAAATAAATTTTTATTTGCATATTCAATTTTATTTCAATATCGAGGTAATATAACATAACATAACATTGTGTAGCATAGTAGAATAGTAAGATGCACTGACTATAATAGGTGCTTAAGTGTCTGATGTTGATATGACATGTTAACAGTTAATGGACAGCACCAGATAGGAAGTATGGTCAAAACAATAAAATCGGCAAAATTAGCAACCACCTCACATACACAGGTGCTTGATATACAATGTGACGAATATCTGGAGTTACTTTATCAAAACATTATTTTGATAATTCAAAACAGTGTCGTAATTTTCATTTGTTGCTTAGACACTATGTAGTGTAATAAATTTGAACACTTGGCATTCCCTTCATCTTTTATTTTAGTTCAGTTGACATTATTGTTTTCATAAGCAATAAAGTTATGGTGAGGAGATTCTTAAGTGGGTAAAACTTTGTTGATGGGACTGATATTTTTGAATTTCTTACATAGGAAAACTTTTTATGCAGGAACTTGTTATATGGAAAATTTTAACACACATCTTATCATCTCATGGTTTAAATGCTGAGACCAGAAAATTGGACTTCTCGTGAAGAAAAATCTTTCATGTATGAACTTCTTAAACAGGTTCTAATATATATAGTGGGGTGTATAATCACTAAAATTAAATTTTTGTATATTAATTAAAAAAGTTCTTATTTTATTTAAAACTGTAAACTTAGACTTTTTATATAAGATCAAAAAACATCTGGTAAAATTTAAGTGCAAAAACAGCAAAAAATAATGCATTAAAATCTAGCATCAGTATTTTATACACAAACATTTTCAGGGCACTGTAATCTCAATAACCAGAGTATTGTTCTGAAATCCTTAGTCTAGTTTATATTGTACTCAAATAAATTTGGTTGATATATGCAAAAAAACAAGCTTATTTTATTGTGATTGATGATTTCTCCATCTAAATCAGGTAGACCTACATTATATTGTCATAAAGCCTATCTTTGAGAAGATACACTCTCCAATACACTCTGTAGGAGAATTCATCTTTTCTTTGATGAAAGACTAATTTTCCTACATTATCAGGTGAGCAAGAAATTCTAAGAAACTGGAAGAGAACAAAGGCAATAGCAGATTTATTATTTACAGCAGTCTAAGTTGGCTAGTTCAGTTAATGATGAACTGAGTTCAATTCAATAGACAAATATTTTCAGTTACTTTAGTAGCCATCATCAGGTTAGAGTATAGATGTTTGAGAACATTAAATTTATTCCATGTAATGTTATATTCAAAACAACAAAATAAGATACAATTAATGAAAATAAAAATTAAAAGTAACAAAATAAATTTAATGAATAAAAATTAGCAATAACTTTGATAAATAACGTCTAAAATTATGATAATTATGATCAAAGATTCATATGTAAATTAAGTGGTATCTAAAATATGCTATGCGCTAGTTGTTTGTACAGTAATGTAATACTCTAAGTATAAAGCAAGTTATTTCAGAAGTAGTTTCTCTAGTAAGAAGGTAAGCAAGCCATAATGAATAAAACATTAAAATTTTATAAAGCAATGAATGCATTTCTGTATCCAATGTATCATCCAATCAGTACTTGCTGTGTGTACTTGCACACCCATCTTAATAATGAGAATGTGATCTTAATATTGAGTATTAAAATTTCTCATCTTAAAACTCTCATTAGTAAGACTCATTACTGAGTTTTACTAATGAGATTTTATGTCATTTGTTTTGCATGGAAAACTGTTTTGGGAAAAAAAAATTATTCTTAATAATTCCTTCAAATTTAATTATTTGCATTAATGCATTATTATAATTTTAAAAATGCCATTNGATATACTAATATACTAATTACATGGGATATAATAATATACTACACTAGTAATGGATTTTTTCATACTTTTCGGTTATCCGACTTTTCAATTATCCGACCAACCCCAGTCCCCAATTGAGTCGGATAATCGAGGCTCTACTGTACTACATTATTTTAAAGTTTAAAGAATTTTATTCTCAACAAGTCGTATTAGATTGAAAATTATTTTTTGTGTATTTTTTATAATACAATTAAGTGAACTCATCCAGGTGGTGACACATCCAGAAA